CGTTTCGCGACTAATTCGAGTATTTCCCCTGATGAATAAAGTAGTCTTATGGATCTTGCCTTCAGAGTACTTTTCCACCGATTCCAAACAATAAAATTTAGACCGGATAAAGACTGAGCTGTCTGTCGCGACTGGAACTAATCAACAAATGCAATCAAAATGTAGCTGTTCCCACGGTTATCATCCCAAAGCCAAGTCGTGTTAATAAACAAGGACAGTTCCCTCAGATTGCGATAAATGCTGCTGTCGAATCGTTTAAATTCGCCAAAACTTATGTGAGTAATGTGAACACAAAAAATATATAACGACATACATTGTAAGGAAAAGATCCTTTTTTTATGTCGTCATGTTCATGCTGTTATTAATAATACTATTACGTCAGTATGTTCACACTGCAAACATAATGACACAACATCTTTCTTTTTCATTAATATATAGATTTAGCCAAGCCAAAAAGCGGAGCTCCTGATTACAATAAATAACCATAGATGAAAAGAGGAATTTTCAACTCTGGATCAGAAAAATGATCAATTGTGAGCATGTGCTTGTTCAGTGTGTGATTTCACTATTTTTTCTAATTACATTTTGACAAACCATACCTAGTGAGTGTGCCCAAGATCGTTGAAATTACGTATGCAATATACCAGGGACTTTCCAAGAGACGATTGTGCAAGGAATATGTCGGAAGAAAAGTCAACAACGCGTCAGGGTTTTAATTTGCGCCGCAATTTTGCCTTTGCATGTACTCCCTCCCTCTCCTCCAGAGTAATAACCTGGCTTGAGCCCGCGATCCAATCGAAAACCCAGTGCCTGGTCAGCGGTCAACTTAAAAAACCCGCGACCTCGATGAGCTTTTGACCTGAGCTCGTGATAAAGTCGCGTGATACTGGTCAGCGGATACCAAGTTTTGACAGCTATCAATTAATCATAACATGGATGTCCAATATCAAAGATGTACTATGTGCTACTCTCTTATTTTTCAAGAAATGGGGCCTGGCGTACCGACGTACGGACAGTCACGTGACAACCAAAATTTTTGAGATCGATTGGTTACCAAGTTATTGATATCATTATGTAATTACTGTGAACTAGACATAAGCAATAACCAAAGCTTCTGTTGCTGAAAATAATGCTTCTGAAAGTAAACTTTCACAAAGATTTTCCTCTGGACTTCAAGATCACAACAGAAAGGTTATTTAAAAACTGTTCCCAACACTGTAAGATAATGTTGACAGATCTAAGCCAACCTTTTCGTAACTTGAATTGACCCTTTCCTAATCTCCTTCGCAACAACTTTTTCACTGTACATGATGTATGCTCAAACGTAACACTTTGCCCTAGAGATGTCAAATTATACATGACCTGCAAAACAGTGGAATTGCGAAAAAAGTAACAAATGATACTCTAACTTGCATAGTCTGATCCCCCACTACAACCTGTAACTTGCAATTCACAAGTTGAAAAGGTTGGCTCGTATCTGTTGGCGATCTGTATCTGCACAACTGTACCTGTACTTCAAGGAACCCACTCATCTGAACTTGTTCCACACAAGTTGGTCTAGCAGCTAGACGACAGCAAATCTGACCCCACAGAGCTAACAATGGCATGTTTGAGTCCTCAGTATATACAGTGGTCGCTAGGGGACTAGCCCCAACCAAACCTAATGATAAAATGGTATCAACATTGATTCAAATGTGAAACTAGAACTCTTACAATAACTGAACCCTACTTAAATTGCAAGCGACTTGGTAAGTACACAAACAAGCACTCAATATTAAAAACAGCACTAAAAACCTTGAAACTAACCTTGAAATTACCTCACATTTAACTCACATATAGTTAAACAGCCACTTCAGTTGTTCTGTTAGTAGTGTGTCAGTCATATCATATGAATTAATTGTGTTTACTGGCACTTAACATCAAAACAAGAATAAGTTCTTCCCTCTTCAACTTAACAGTGTTCCATTGCATGCCGTTTAAAAGTTACTCAGGCAACTAGCATACTGGATTCAAATTGCTTCAACAAGTAGCTAAGTTTCATTTGAAGTTCCATAAGTCCTGGTTTTCACTAGTTTTTGTGTATAACTTGCAATATATAGTACTACTACTTACTAGTTTTTTTCAAAAAGGGTGAAAACAATTACCCTGTGGTGAACTGATAATAATTATTACAGACTGTTACTATAGCGTTAATCATACTCAGGTCATGTGACTGGTCCTGGAGACTGGAAAAACAATGCCATAATTTGGGCCACAAACCTTTGCCTTGCTTACTGAACAGCTCCAGAGTAACCTAACAAGCTAGCGCTTATCTGCAATTTCCTCAACATGAAGCAACTAGGAGCATTTGTTCTAATTCCCCTTTAATTTGATGAAAGTGTGCAAGTTACATGTACCTCCCAGAATTTATTCTCCAGTATACCCATTTGTACACCTGAGTGAAGAGAGGCCCTGAAACTTAAGTACCTTGCATGAGAATAAGACAATAACCCCAGCCAGGGCTTGACCCCAGATCACTTTATCTGGAATACAGTGTAAGCTACTTATTTGTAGCCATTAGGTCTTCAGAGTTCCCAAAGGGGAAATGGTTAACATACAGTAGAAAGAATAAAGACAATCATAAGAAATGAAATTATGTTATAAACATGAACAATAGTAGGAATGTCTTGTTCCTGTAGCACTAGGAAAGCTCCTGTAGGCTTTTTAAAGACCCTCAATCATTTACTCAGACACACCACGGTCACACCAATCATTTTCTCAACTAAAGAGGTCACCAGTTTAGACAAAAGTGTTGGTAGAAACAAAATCTGTTTCCATCACAGTAATTACTGTTGGTGTTAAGTGTTTCTATAATTATTTATAACTTCTCTCTGATTCATTGTCATGTTTTTTAGATATATATGTACTTTAATTTAAGATTTTATTTACATAAATTACATCCATCAAGTGATGCTGACGAGGACTAAACCAGAAGACAGCCTAGGAGAAATGAAAACCTTGTAAAGCTGTGGTTGCAGAGTCAGTGCACAATCCTTGGAAATAGAGAAGGAACAACTGGGCTATAGTTACAACCCTTACTTGTCACAAAAGTTTGAGCATTGGTGTGCTTGATTTTACCATTTTTTTTATTGCAGATTTCTCCGTTTCTGCAACCACAATTTGTGCCATGCGCTTTGCTTCCCATCAAGAACAATCTGTACTTTGTGCCATCTTCTTGCCACTATATCTGTCATGTTGTTTTACATGAACAAGATGATGGAATGAATAATTATGAACAACAGCAAAACAATCACTGAATAAGGGGGAAATAGAGCAGCTCTTTTCTAATTACCCAAGAAAATCGATTAATTTTGTCACCTCTACAGGTTCACCGCATAAGCTGGCATTGCAGAGTCTACCCCTGGTCCCAGGACTCCCCTTAAGTAAACCTGCTGACTGGGGACTATTGTAAGTCGGTCATGTTTGTGTTTTGAACACTGGGAGTGGATTAGGCCAAACAAGCACCATGCCCAAACTGGATAAATCTCTAGTAGTATATGTGGTATTCGACAAATACCTGCAAAATTGTTGACGCCTCGCCACGGCTCGGCTTGACTCACGCTCACCTTGCTGCCTTGGCGACAACAATTTTCCAGTATTTATTGAATACCACATATACTACTGTGGGCGCGCACCTTTTGAACAGTTTCATATTTTTGTATATGGAGACAGCAATGGAACTGGTAAAACGACTCAAAACCACAAGTGATTTACTGCTGAAGCTTATTGAAAACTGCCCAATTGACGTCAAGCTTTTCCAAGATATGTCTATTGATATAAAACAAATCGAAAAGACATTGTCTGAACTTAAAGAGTTACTCAGTTTTTTCGAATCAGTCGAGAGGAGGAATGTCTGGAGGCTTGAACTCGGTGGGGGTGAGGCTCTTCACCCCAGACATAATACTTAAAGGCGACCTTTTTTCTAACATGCGCAATAGAAAAAAAGTATTTGAACTTAAGACAGAAGGTAGAATAACGATGTCGCTTGCAAACAACATACTCATGGAAGAGGATTTTCAAGAACTCAAACAAAATCTACCCGATGTTACGACAAATCAACAAGTCGAACTTGAACCTGAACCACAGCAAGAAAAAGAGAAAAATTATTGCTGCAACGCCTGTGGCAAGAGATTTACTCAATTGAACTCGCTTAAAAGGCACAGAAAATATAGTTGTAAAAATTTGGAAACAGAAATGCTTCCTGAAGAAAGCTGCCCAGGATGTGGTAAAATGTTGCATAAAATGACCGTTTACAAGCATAAAAAATAAAGGCTGTCCGGAAAAAGTTAATTGAAGGTTTGCAAGTTAATTGTATAGCGATGGCAGATATTATCAACCAGTCATCTGAAAACATGAATAATCTTTCAGAAGAGGAATATAAAACAACTACGGACAAACCAAGTCTTTGTATGCAAGCTGGTATTATTGCAAGTGCGAGGTCAGTGAACAAGGGCGAAGAAACGCAGGTCAATGAGTTTGAAGAACTCATATTAATGAAAAATCTTTTGAAAAGGTATAAAGGTTCTAAAGAATTTTTAAGAAAATTTGCCGCTCTTGGGAAAGAGTATCTTGAAGGTCTTCATTGTTCTGAAAGATATTCAAGAATTTTGTACGCCATTATTACAGCATATATGGGAGAGATGGAAGATAATGAAAAAGAAGCATTTCTTGCCTTCTTTGGGGGAGGGTCTTTGTTTGAGGACTTATTAAACGCCACTATTATACATTATCCCTATTTAAGACAAAGCAATTAAAGCTTTGCAAGTATTTAGCAAAATGGGACGCGGCAGGAATGGTTTTCTCAATGCAAGCCAGATGAAAAACAAAAGATTGAAAAAGGCAAGGAAAGAAGGGCCTTACTGGGGCTTGGTAAAAATACATAAAGAGAAAAGCGGCAAACAGGAGGTCTATCTGTTGGAAAAGTCATCGGTTGAATTAATGCAAAGTTTAGACCCACAAGAAGCGGTCAAGGCACTTTTGAAATAATCAGCCAATATTCTCTTGTCAAAAAAAATATAAAGATACCTCGAGCAAAAATTTTTTTATCTACCCTGTAGTTATGTTACTGTCACGCTTGACGTTGTGTGACAGACCAACAAAGGTGGCAAAACCCTCGTTGGGGGTGCTCAGTGGCTGTTGTTGCCTAGCCCTGGCTAGGACTTCTCCTGCCACTGACAAGGCGGCTGTCATTCCCATTTAACCTCTGGGACAGAGGTTCGAAATAGCGAGGGATCTCTGAGCACCCCTGTTGCCAGTAGGGCCGGAGCGGGTTCACCTGGGTACCATCTACTGGAAGACATCCCCCACTACTCCTAACAAAGCGCCTTCACATGCCGTATTAGGAATCACAGGTGCCCACCCTGACATCCAAAAGCACCGCCATTTGCTTCCCCAATAATTGGTTATGCAAATCACATATTTGTATGGCTTGGTCAGGCTTTTTGCATACTTATGGTACTCTTTCTCTGTCATTCGCTGCACATGCGCAGAAAAATGACAAATTAATTTGTACAGATGTAATTGTTGCCAGGTATTAATTAGCTGCTTCAAACAAGGCATCGACGACCTTGCATGACACACATAGAGACTACTGGTTCTGGGCCAGCTGTGAACAAATAACTGTTTTCAGCTGCTGAAACGACCCCCCACCGTTAAAGCTTCACACAAGGCTCAGCTTTAACCGTGGGGGGTCGTTTCAGCAGCTGAAAACAGTTATTTGTTCACATGCTGTACCCAGAACCAGTAGTCTCTATGTGTGT